TTCTTGGTAGCCCAATAGCGCGTTACTTCTGTTTGGTTGTTTGGTACCGTAACTGGCTTTTGTCTTGTTTATCCTGCTCTCTCTAATCCTTTGACCTCGGCCTGTTTAATCATTATTCCGTACCTCTGTAATCCTCTGACCTCGGCATTTATTCTGACTCTGCTTATTTGAATAACCCGGCCATTCTAAGGATGGGGATTACAAATATTCTTGTTTGTGATTCTGTCTCTGTGTTCTGGTTCCCGGATTCCTGACATATGTATATACACACACACACACACACACACACTTATTTCCTATAGATATTTTATAGATATTGTAAAATAATGAAAACATTTTATAATTATATATATATATATCTATATATATATATATATCTATATCTATATCTATATATCTATATATATCTATATCTATATCTATATATCTATATATATATCTATATCTATATCTATATATATATATATATCTATATCTATATCTATCTATATCTATCTATCTCTACAAAAAAACTGCAGTTATAAAGCTGCTCACAGCCCCTACAGGTGAGGCTAATGACCTCGTTAGGCAGTGAGCCAGAACTACTCAGAAAACCTGGGCTGGACTCATGCACAGCCACTCTACAGTGGATGGAGAATCGGCCCACCCTGCTCTTCCAAATACTCCACCACAGGGACCCAAATAACATAGAAAAAACAAACAAACAAACAAAAAAAAACTACATTTAAACTTAACTTTCCTTGGGGCTGCATGTGCTTACCCACATGTCAGGATAGTGGCTGTGTAAATGTCTGGGTGCCAGATATACACCCCTGACCACCATCCCCCAACACTCTGTCACAATATATATTTATAATCACAAAGTACACTTATAATGAAATCATATACATGTATTATATATGTATAATATATTATAAAATGTTTTCATTATTTTATAATATATTATACATATAGGTTTAATATATTTTATTTTAATTAATTTATTTTCACTTTTAAGGAGTTGGGGGGACTGCCTGACAGTTCATCGTGATCACATGGCCCTGGAGGACCGGAGTGGCCAGAGCTGCTGCAGGGGGACTCCTGGGCTCTCGGATCGCCAATCCAGGTGAGTACAGGAGGCCAGGGAGGACGGCTGGGCGTACTATGCCACCCTCTGGACAGCATAGTACGCCCGCCGTCCTTAAGGGGTTAAGCCGTTAATAACGTTGTTAGTTTACACAATACACATTTACAACCTAATTTATTTTAAGAATAAAAACAAACCGTCATAAATGGGTTGTTTTCTCAAAACCACCATCAGCATTAGTGCCATGGTGACCTCTTAACCTATTTTTTTACCATTGCCACCTCTGCCACCACCCCCAGAAGTACCACCACTATTAGTAGTATTCAGTCTCAGAATACTGGGACTAGCATATCTGTTACATCTGATTAACCACTCAGGGGCAAGTATTTTTATTCTTGCTTTGCTGCATTTGGTGACTCAAAATAAGCAGAAGACGCTGTAATTGCAGCAGTAGAGTCATTTAGGCCCTGAATAGTAGCAGTTTGTTTATAAAGCATGCACAAACGGAGAGCATCTTTAGCAACAGCAGGACTAGTACAAGTAGCACAGCCGTAAGACTCGTACTAGTCCACCTTTAAAAAAAAAAAAAAGTTAATGAAAGAAAAGAGAAAAGTAGTGAGTCCAATTAGAAATCAACACCCATCATATATAAGGAGGCTGCTTTCGTCTCTTGGGAAGAAGATCACTACATGCACAATAACATCTGCTGCCGCTTCCACTGCCACTGCTGCTCCTCCAACCACTGCTAGTTTAAGCGTTAACGCTTCTTTGTTTAATGGTTTAATCAAGGGATTTGTGATACCAGTACATGTTGCCATTCCCAATGTTACCCCTAAGTTATTTTAGCTCAAGACTTTTTCTTGAAAACATAATTATATCTTTATAACTGGACCATGCGCTGTAGAGATATCATTATATAAGCAGTTGCTAGCTTTTATGAGCAATTCAGATTCAAATAATTTATGAATACAGCAGCTACCAAGATTTGAGGAGCTCAAACAACCGATGCTGCCAGTGTGTACAGTTAGTTATTTATTGCTTATGAGTAGAATTTCCTGAAACTTATGTACAGCCAAAACGGAGATTGTAATTATATAACCAGGATGTCACTAGTAAACGCTGCCATGTAACCCGGAGGGATTTCATTCGTGCGTTGTCTACTTTTACAAATGGTATGCCATGATAGGGTTCATTTTCATTCCTGGACTACCATACAGTCTCAAAGGCAACATATGCCCAGCAAACTAATCTGGCAAATTTCAATGTGCAGAAATGGAAAAGGGAAAAGCCCTTTATTTGACCCCTGTAAGTTTCCAAAAACTCATAGTACCTGTACACTCCTGAGACATTGAGGGGTACTGTTGCACTCCTGAGACATTGCTGAATACAAATATGTGTATTTTATTGCAGTACAATCTAACAGTATTATGACATTCACAGATAAAATGTCATGCAGAACATAAAAATTAAATTTTCTTAATTTCTTATTCAATTATGTTTTATATATAAATATGTGATATGAAATGAAAGCCCTGTTTCTCCTGAAACTGAGCCAATTGTACAACTTGTGATCAAATCAAAACATACACAAAACCTGGAATTTGCGCTAAATGTGGTTCAACCATATTTCACCTCTTTCATATTAAAGGACCACTCTAGGCACCCAGACCACTTCAGCTTAATGAAGTGGTCTGGGTGCCAGGTCCTTCTAGGGTTAACCCATTTTTTCATAATTATAGCAGTTTCAGAGAAACTGCTATAATTATGAATGGGTTAAGCCTTCCCCCTAATCCTCTAGTGGTTGTCTCATTGACAGCCACTAGAGGCGCTTGCGTGCTTCTCACTGTGATTTTCACAGTGAGAGCACGCAAGCGTCCATAGGAAAGCATTGTAAATGCTTTCCTATGCGACGGGCTGAATGCGCCCGCAGCTCTTGCCGCGCGTGCCCATTCAGCCCAGGAGGAGGATCGGAGGAGGAGAGGAGGCAGAGAGCTCCCCGCCCAGCGCTGGAAAAAGGTAAGTTTAAACCCCTTTCCCCTTTCCAGAGCCGGGCGGGAGGGGGTCCCTGAGGGTGGGGGCACCCTCAGGGCACTATAGTGCCAGGAAAACGAGTATGTTTTCCTGGCACTATAGTGGTCCTTTAAGTGCACCCACACTTATTATACATCATGTTATCCAAGAGAAACAGTGCATTCATTTCATATCAAATATTTCTATATGGAACATAATTTAATATGAATAAAAATAAAAAAAAGTAAAGTATGAGAAATTAAGATTTTTTTTCCCACAAGTTCTGCATTACATTTTTACTGTGAATGTCATAATACTGTTGGTGTTTACTGAAATAAAATACACATATTTGTATTCAGAAATGTGTCACAAGTACAACAGTACCCCCCATGTGCATGTTTTATGGGTTTTTGGAAACTTACAGGGGTCAAATGTAGGGCTTTTTCACCATTTCCATGTTTGCACATTGAAATTTGCAAGATTGCTTTGCTGGGCATATGTTGCCTTTGAGACCATATGGCAGCCCAGGAATGAAAATTAACCTCATCATGGCTTACCATTTGTAAAAGTAAACAACCCACAGTATTCAAAATGGGGTATGTCCATTCTATTCACAAACCCTGGCTAAAATTAGGCTTTATATTAGTTTTGTTTGCATTTTTCACAAATAAACTGCCCTTTCACAGACGATCTTATCAGTATAATACATTTTACTGCTCTAAAACAATCATATTTGTGTAGAGTAATGTCTCATGAGTACAACAGTACATCTGAAGTACAGGTTTTATTATTATGTAGAAAGTTACAGGGTCAAACATAAGATTTGCCAATTTCAGTTGTTGCTAATTCCTATTTGCCAGATTGGCTATGTTGCTCTGAGATGATATGGCAGCCCAGAAATTAAAATCAATCCTTCCATGACATACCATTTGAAAAAGTAGACAACCCAGGGTATTCAAAATGGGGTATGTCCAGTCTTTCGTAGTAGCCACTTAGTCACAAACGCTTGCCAAAAGTTAGGGTTAATATTTTTTGTGTGAATTTTTTTACACAATAACTGCACTTTTACTGGTTATATCATCGTCGTGATAGGTTTTACTCGCTTAAAACACTCATATTTATGTTCAGCGAAGTCTCGGAGTATAACAATACCCCCCCATGTAAAGGCTTTATGATATTTTGGAAAGTTACAGGGTCAATATAGGGCATGCCCAATTGAGTTTGCCAGATTGGTTTGCTAGGTCTATGTTGCCTTTTGAGACCATATGGTAGCCAAAGCATGTGAATTAACACCATCATGGCATACCATTTTCAAATGTAGACAACCCAGGGTATTTAAAATGGGGTATGTCCAGTCTTTTGTAGTAGCCACTTAGTCACATATGCTGGCCAAATTAGTATTCTTATCTATTTTTTGCATTTTTAATGCAAAAACTGCACTTTAACTAGCGATATCATTGTTGTGATAAGTTTTACCATTTTAAAACACGACTAATTGTGTTCAGCAATGTCTCCTGAGTATAACAATACTCCCCGTGTGTTTGTATGTATATATATATAAATAAAACAAAACTAGTAATGCACTCCACCTTCCTTGATGTACTTGCCCGGTGCTTATCAGCAAACGTCTATGACATCATCAGTGTCAATTATTTGACCTGAGCAGGCTGCTGGTCAGGTGCCCCAGGGATCACTCCTATCCTCAACCTGGGTAAGTTAAGGGAATATTGAGGGTATATATTCTTATGGATTTGATTTGCAAGCTCATCCTGATGAAAGTCTGTGATACAGACTGAAACGTTGATTTTTATTTTGAGCTAATAAAAGCTAAGTTTTATTCATTCAACTTGGAAGTCCCTGGAGTGCTATCTTGTACTTTTGGCTATATATATATATTACATTTATTACATTTATGAATATTCAGGTGAGTGCAGCCACCTAGTTTCATATATATATATATATATATATATATATATATATATATATATATATATATATATATATGAAACTAGGTGGCTGCACTCACCTGAATATTCATAAATGTGATGCTGCTCGGGGCCAATTCATACAATACACAAGAACCAAGCGCACTCACCTACCCATTAAACAGCAACTTCAATGCTGACAGATTTCATTAGTTTTTTGTTTGTTTTTTTAAATACCTAATCTAGGAAAAAATAAATCAGGGTTTAGTTATATTATATGATCATACATTGCATAAGCTTGCCACAACGTCAATGTACCGCAACTTTGTCAGGTGCTACTCTAACAGCTTAATGTCTGCTTTTATGAGATTAACCCACTTTTTTTTTTTCATCTGGGGCTCTCTGCAGTACAAAGCTAAATAGGGCCCTGTGATGAGGCACCTGTGACAGGGAGGGGTGCAAAACCAAGGAATTGTGGCAGGC